ACAAAGTATATAAAAGAAGTTTAATACCTTTAAAGAAATAAAGAGAAACTTAAAAATCTGAACAGATAACAGGAGGCAAAACTAAGCATATTTGAAAAAGAAAAGGAAAATATAATTGAAAAGTATACACTTTGTCCAATCATCTATCGAAGAGTGCTATGGTTGTTTCCGTGTCTTGGCCACCATGAATAAAGCTGCTGTGAACATCAGCGTGCATATATCTTTTGGATAAATGTTTTCACATTTTGGGGGTAGATACCCAGAAGAAGTATTGCTGAGTCACATGGTAATTCTATTCTTAGGTTTTTTGAGGATCCTCCATATTGTTTTCTGTACTAATTTACATTCCCACCAGCAGTGTATGAGGGGTTCCCCCACTCCGCAACCTCTCCAACACTTATTATTACTTGTCCTGTTGATAATAGAGAAAGGTGTGGCACATATATACAGTGGAATATTACTCTATCATAAGAAAAGATGAAATACTGCCATTAGCGACAACATGGCTCGAGATTACCATGCTAAGCAAAATAAGACAGAAAAAGTTGAGAACCATATAATTTCACTCGTATGTGAGATATAAAACTGAAAGCAACAAACAAATAAGACAAACAGAGACTCATGGACACGGACAAGTTTAGTGGTTACCAGAGGGAAAGTGGGGAGATGAGAGCTGGATAAGGGTAAAGGGAGTCAAATATATGGTAACAGAAGGAGATCTGACTTTGGATGGTGAACTCACAATGCAATATACATATGATGCATTATGAATTGTACACTTGAAACTTCTATAATTTTATTAACCAATGTCACCGTGATAAATTTAATTTAAAGAATATACATTTGAATAAAGTTCCAGAAAGAAATAATAGATGGGGAGGAAGTAATGTTCAGAGAAATAACAGTGAGAATTTTCCCAAATCTGTTGCAAAACACCAATCTTCAGATTAAGAAGCCTTGCAAACTCCAAGCAGTATAAATATGTAGAGACATAGATGTAGGTAGAGGGAACAAAGATCAATGGGTATGCTACATTTGACAGTTGAAGAGGGCAGTATCATCCACAGAGGAATGACAGATGAATAGTGAAATTCATAACATCGACCATGGAAACCATAAGACTGTATAATAATATCTTCAAAGTTGTAGATTAAATAACTCGACCAAAAATTCTATACCAAGTGAAGCAAAGGAAAGTGCAGACTTTCAGAGTTTACCACTAATGACTATCACTAAATAGATTTGGAAGCACGTCATCAAACCAGAGGGAAGTGACTTCGGGTGCATGGTCTGAGGGGCAAGGAAAAATAGTGGGCCAAGGTAAATACGTGACAATCTAAATAAACCAATGACTACATAGGAAACAAAGATAATTTGTGGCTAGGTTTAAAATGCTGTTATAATAGCTTATAAATTGGGAGGGGAGATTGGAGAATAAACTATTGCAAAGCCTTTGTATTGTCTAGGAGAAGATTATGACTATTGATGACCTGTAACTTGTTAAATATATATTAAATGGGGCAAATGCTAATAGAATAGACCAAATAAAAAGAACTCAAAGAATAGGCAAAGGAAAACAAAAGAGTTTAAATGAAGACAAGAAAAGGGAAAAGGTAAAATGGAACAAGTTAAAGGTTCAAAATGTGATGTTAGAAGTAAAACTAAATCATTAATCACACTTTGTGCAAGTGGACTAAATTTTCTCATTAAGGCCTTAACAGTTATACTATATTTTAAAAACAAACAAAAACATATTTCAACTAAGTACTACAAAATATACACCTAAAGAAAATAGATAAAAGGCCAAGTTATGGAAAAGATAGACCAGGCAAATAGTAACCAAAAGAGGCAAGTACCATCATATCAGTATTATCAAGAGAATTCAGGCAAAAAAAGATGATTAGAAATAAGGAAATTTCTTGCATAATGATAAATGACTCCATTTACTGGGAAGATGTATCGAATCTAACTGCGTGTATCACACGGATTTGCGTATAGACAGAATTAAAGGAAAAATTTGTTAAATCCATCACAGTTGATTTTAACACACTTACTAGTAATCAGTAGATCAAATGGATCCCCACAAAGGAAGAAAATAGAAAGTGTGAACAGTATCACTTTTGAGCTGGAGCTAATGGAGTTGACCACCTCTGACGTCTGGAAAAGACAAATTCTTTTCAAGTACATGGGGAATACTCATTGGGGCTGACAGGCTTGGGCATACAGCTGGATGACCTCAGTATACTCAAAGGATCAGGACCTGACAGATCACATTTTTTTTAAAAAAAAAAAAAAGCCACAATGCAATTAAGTTAGAAAACAAAGACAATAAGATAATTAGAAAAATTCATTTACTTGGAAATTTAATAACACTCATAATCAACTCATGGGTCAAAAGAGAAATTGTTCTTGAAATTTTATCATGCAACTTTTCATATCAAACTCCTGGGATACAATACAATACTGGGAAGGAAACTTAGAATATTAAATGTGTGCCTTTAAAAAAAATCAGAAGGTTCAAAATGGAACTTAGCGCTAATATAAATCAAGGACCCATGGATGCAGAAGGAATGAAATTAAAAGAACAGAAGTTTATGAAATAGAAAAACATATGAAGAGATCAAAAAAGCAAAAACTGCAGGTTTGAAAGATAAGATTCATTTTTTAAGAGGCACAAATAAAATGGAATGAAAAAAGAACACAACCACCGATGCAATAGAGAAAAGCAGATAGGAGGATATTAAGAACAACTCTCTACACATTTCAAAATATTAATATAATGAGTGACTACATAGGAAGATAAAAGTTAGCAAAACAGATCAAGGAGAAAGACAAAATTAGAATAATCCTTTCATTTTAAAGAAAATGTAGTCAGTAGACATGTTAACATGAAGAAAACACCAAATTCAAACGGCTTTCTCTGAATGCTACCAAACATTTGGGAATCAGATAATTTCATTCTCACACAGAGAATGGAACAAAAACACTCATGAACATGGATACAAAAATTCTGAACAAATATTACCCGACCAGATCCAAAAATGAATGAAAAAATCATGATCAAGTTAGGTATATTCCAGGCATTCAAATGATTAATATTCAAATTTTAATTAATAGAATTTACCACATTATTTAACAGATTAAAAAGGAAAAAATATATTATCTTAATAAAGAACATGAAATTCAACATTCATGTATAACATTAAAATTTTTTCTTAGCATATATTTTTAAAAAGAATAGAAATTTCCTTAACTTGATAATAAACATCTATAAAAAATATCTATTATGTTGAGACACAGAAATCACCCCCTTTCAGATTAGAAAGGAAGCAAAGATATCCTCCCCATCCTCCTTCTTCCTTCCTCTTTATCATCGCACTGAGGTTTTAGCCAGCCCAGTAGTAGTCAAGAAAAAGAAAAGTAGTAGTCAAGAAAAAAAAAAGAAAAGAAAAGTTGCAGCTGCTATGGAAAACGTGTATAGTGGTTCTTCAAAAAATTAAACAGTTACCATATGATCCAATAATTCCACTTCTGGGCATATAACAAAATAATTGAATTCAGAGACATGAAGAGATATTTGCATACTCAGCTTCTCGGCAGTATTATACACAATAGCTAAAAGGCGAAAGCAACCCAAGTGTCCGACAGATGAATGAAAAACAAAATGTGGTATAAACATGCAATGGAATATTATTCAGCCTTAAAAAAGGAAAGAAATCCTGCCATATGCTACAACATGGATGAATCTTGGAGACATTATGCTAAGCAAAGCAGGCAAGTCACAAAAGGATGAATACTGTATAATTACACTTGTATGAGGTCCCTGGGATAGTCAGATTCAGAGACAGAAAGTAGAATGGGGAGTTCCAAGGACAGAAGTGAGGAGTAGGGAGTGGGGAGTTAGTTTTCAATGGAGACAGGGTTTGTTTGGGAAGATGGAAATGTTCTGGAGATGGATGATGATGCTAGTTGCATAACAATGTAAGTCTACTTAATGCTAATGAACCGTACACCTAAAAATGTTAAAGTGGTAAATTTTATATTATGTATATTTTACCACAAATTTTCAAAAGTCATAAAGATTCCAAAGGAAGAAACAAATTATTACTACCCAAATGTTATGATTGTAAACACTGCTCTCCTGAAGCCAGTGCTTCGTTACTGAGCCCAAAACTTTTGTTATGCACAGTTCGCAGTTTGAGAATGGGGATGTGTTTCAGAGATGTATGTAAAATTATGTATCATTTTTCTGAGAACAAACAGACAAGCTTCCATTAGAGGGGTCTGTGACCCACAGAAGAGCCATTCTGAGTGGCACCTCCCCGTAGTGTTCACCCAAGCCCCCACCCCTCTGTCCCCCACCCCTGTGCAGGCATTGCACAGGCTGTGAGCCTGCTCCCTCCTGTCGGCAATGGCTGGGATCCTTCACTCCCCTCCCGCCTCCTTCCCACCTTCCTTATCCCCTCTCCCCACCCCAACACCACTTTCCTCCCTTTCATTCACTCAGGTGGTTTAAATATGATGTGAAGTATATTCTTAAATCTTTCTTGAATCTTTCATTCAACAAATCTTTCATTGGACAAAGTTTAATTTTTTAATATAGGTGGGGCTGCGAAATCAACCAAACTCGGCTTTTTTCTGTTACTCTTCATGTCCTGGATGATAACATTGAACATATGCAGCTCTTAGCTCTGGCCCGGAACCCAGAAATCCTCGTTCTGTAACCTTAAATAATTTCAACTACACTTTCTTGCTGGTTTTGTATCTTGCAGTTAACGTAGACTAAATTTTAACAAATGGAAGATGCTTACTGAGTCCCAGGGTCTGCCTGGGGTGGTGGCAAGGATTCTTGGAAAGGTTATGCATGGGACGACAGTGGAGAGGAGCCCCTCAGATGACACTTAAGGTTCGGAAACATCCAGGAGATAAAAGTGTCACTGGCTTAATTTTCATCCAAATCCATTCCGAGACTTTTCTTTTTAACAAAATGCTTTTATTGCTATTTTTAACTAAAATGCACTGTTAGGAACTTGCATGAAATACCAAAAGCCATCTATATTCTTTGTTTGAATTCTTCCTTTCTGGTCACAGAAAATGAACAGAAAGAACCGCTGACATAAAGCACAACAGAAACCAACTAGTGCCAGACACTGGGAAGAGGAAAAAGAATCGCTACTGGTTGCTCACACACCGCGTTACAAATGGTTAGTAGTCGTCATAATTGACGCTGGCTCCGTGCCGAAAGCTGTGGGGGCTCCGGGGACCAATGGCAGCATCTTCATCGTAGTCACGGTGGTGATAATCGTAGTAGTCATGTCCGTTCCGATCTCTGTTTAGCCAATAGGTGACATCATCTTCAAATTTCTGGAGGAGAAGAGAGAAAACCACAGAGAAGGGATTGAAGGACACACACACCTCTGACCACATCTTACCTCTGGGCTTCTCTGTGGTGGTGTTTCTTCTATGATTAACAACCCTCACTGGGAATAACTCCTTGACATAATATTCCTGTGCTCAGAGGTTGTTACAGCCAGATACGGAAGACTGATAAAACCTATTTTCTCCAAAGGAGTACACACTCTTACCCGTGAAAACTTCTGTCACATGAGTTCTAAATATATCCCAGACTTAACCTGCTTTTCTCTTTTTCGGTAAATAAAACAAATCTGCCAGATACAATAACAACTTGATCTGACATCCCCCCACCCCTACCCCGGCACCATACAAGACCTGTAAGTCTTACTAGTCTTACATTGTGGCAGACAAGATCTCTTCTTCCTGTCCCATCCCTGTGCCTGGCCCCCTCTAGCGCACATACCAGATGCTTAAACAATGCTGGCTGAGTTAAATCAGCCATGGCACTGGCATATTACAGCCACAGGCCAGGGTGTTATGGGTGCTCCTGACAGTGGTGTTGGTAGGGCATGCCCTGGTGCCTTTATTTGTTCCACAAACACTTATTAACACAAACACCTGCCCTCAGCACTGGAGGGTCACCCAATACAAGTAAGACATTACCGATACATATGAAAATAGACACTTGCAGTTAATTAAAACGGAAAAAGGAAGACTGAAGATAAGTAAGAAGCCTACAATAATGCTTGAGTTTAGAGCTTGGGCAATGAGTCTTTTGCTATTAACCTGTTTTTAAAGGAAAGACTAGTTTTTTTGTTGGCTGTGGTGAAGGTGCACGATAAATTTGGATTAAACCTGCACATATTGATGCTTAGGACTTGGTAAGAGGTTTTGTGTGAGGGCAAAAATGCAGAACAGATGAAGATGGCCTGGGGAAGTTGGAGTGCATTTAAAAGTTTGGGCTTCGGGGCCAGCTGTTCTCAAAGTGTAGCCAGTGTACCCTTGCAACCAAATTTCTAGGGGTGCTGTAAAATGCAGGTTCCCAGGCACCACTGCGCGCCTGCTGGATCGAACTTTCTGGTGACCGGGACTCAGGAATCTATTTTTCTTTTTTTAAATAAACCTGCCAGTGAACATTAATATTTGAGAACTTCTCAAAGCTAGAAACCCTGGCCTTGCCCAATAGTGCTCTCTGTGGCCATCCACGCTGGGTGAGCAGTAACCCAATGGTGCCAAACGGAAGAGCAGGACTCCATGCCTGTCTCCGTTTCCTTAGCCCAGGGGCTTTGGCTTTGTCAGAGCCCACCCCAGGCTCCAACTTGAAAAGAACGCTGGCTTGTCTCCCAATACTGCGGTTTTTCCCATGTCGAAATAATCTTGTTCCTTGATTCTTCTCATTTATAATCTTGTTTTAGATTTTGACTTAAAATACATTTTTCAATAAATTTTTTAAATGATTATGACTATAGAATAATGCAGCCTCGTGTGTTAAAATCCGTATGTGGGAGGGAGACAAAGAAAAGGGGAGATCATAATTCCATTGCCAAAGACAGCCACTACTGTCATTTTGATGAATTTCCATCTAGTCCTGCCTATGCACGTTTAGTTATTATAATCTTATTTGATCCTCACCTTTATCCTCACCAAATCTTATTTGATCCTCACCTGTCATCAGATGTTATTTTAGCCATTTCCCCATGTTGAACCCTTACTATCCATTTTCATGAACTGCAAATACTGGTAATCAAAGAAATGCAAAATGCTAAAAGATGATAGAGCATTTTCATCTATCAAATAAGTAATTTTATTCTTTTAAGTTTCCAGTGACAATATCAGATGCTGCTGAAGATGTGAGAAAATTGGTGCCCTCATACCTGACTTGCAAGAATATGCAATTTGACAATACTTAATGACCATTAAATGTGATTCTACATTTGCCCCAGTAACTTCATTGGGCAGAATGCAATACTAAGAAACAAACTACACTCAAAGATGCAAATAATAGTATCTGCCGTTTGGGTTGTTGTGAATGTTAAATTAATTCATATAAGAACTAGAATCATTCCTGGCACAGAGTTTAGCTATTTGCACAACAAAAAAAAATTATATTTGAGAAGTAATAAAAGTAATTGGAGAACAACTGATATATCCAATAGTTGGGAATGGGAAGAAAATTATGATATGTCTACAGACTTGCCTTTTATGCAGTCATGGAAAATGATATCTCTTCAAGTTCCCTGCCCATTTTTTAAATTAAATTGTTTTATTGTTCTTGAGTTGTTTGAGTCCTTCAAGTATTTCGGATATTAGCCCTTTATTGGAATATCATTTGCAAATATCTTCTTCCATTTGGTTGGTTGCCTTTTTGTTTTGTTGATGGTTTATTTTGCTGTGCAGAGGCTTTTTAGTTTGATGTAGTCCCGTTTATTTATTTTTGTTTTTGTTTCTCAATAAATTTAATTTTAAAAACTATAAAAAGTTTAATTTTTTCACCTATTGCAATATTTTGTATACGCCCTTGATTCACAATATGAGTCATGGGCCCGTTACAAAAAACACTTCCATCTGCCCTAATACTGATGCCGCCCTTCATTGCTCGCTGGCTGAGGTGGCAGGCTGAGTGTTCTCCATGCCATGCCTTGTACACCGTGGCTCCTCCCAAGCCTTGGGCAGCCCTGTCACTCACTGTGTAGCAGAATCCCTGACCTTAGCCCTGCGCTATCTTACCTGTACCCGGCTCCCCAGTTGGGAGTCTGAGATTATAAACATTCTTTTTCCTTAAATCAGTGAATATGTCCTCTCATGCTACCTGGATGCATGAACTGAACCATCTTTTCCTGTAAACGTACTGACAGGTTATCCCAACAACATCTACAAAGACCCATCTCTCTTTAAAAGTCACTTTTCATCTCTTTCCATTGTCCTCACAGGTCTTCGCATTGATCTGTTGTTTCTGACATTTATTAAGGTAAAGCTGAAAATGTTTTGGGGAGGTTGTGAATTATTTTAGAGACACCCAGGCAAAACTGTTAAAAGTGTTCCTAGGAAATCAGATTCTCCATGACCATTTGGGGCAGTTACCTCTCTGGAATTCTGCTTCTGAAACATGTTGGGAGGGATTCCCGGTTCCATGTAGTGTGATGGAAAATTCTAGCTGATGTCTTCATATGGATGGTAATGTAATCTAATGCCTGGACAGCATGTGACATATAATGGGAGCTCGTACTTCTGGAGCCAATAACGAACCCTAATATTTGTGCCCTATTTTCCCCAGCCATACCCCTGTCCCGGCCACACTGCCCTGCAGGAAGCCAGGCCCCCAGCAGGAGAGAATACCCACCGCTTCATCGAAGCCCATATAGAGGAACTGCTGGTACCACTGCTGGACCTCTGGCCGGGTCCGGTCCCAGAGCTGCCGCTTTTGGCGCGTCAGGCTGCCTAAGAATTCTTTGGCTTTGTTCTCGTCAACAGCCACTTCGGTCTTAGTTGGAGCAGGTGCTGAAATGATTTATTCCCACCCCCCAAAAACAAAGAATTATTTCTTGTTGGGGTGAATCACTATTATACACCCCATCCCCTCAGTGCCACATGTGGAAGATGGTTTGGACTCAACTCCATCCTTAGGAGGGGTGTGATCACTAGTCTCCATGCGGCTCGTCTGTTAAGCTCTCCTATTTGGGAACAGCCAGGTAAAGGTATGCGGGCCAACCTTCAACTTCTAAGGCCCACGGTGGAAATGAAATTCTGCTCAACTTTGCAGTCATGCACCAGGCCTCACACAGAATGCTGATGGCTTCCCCTGGGCTCTACGTTTGGGGAACAATGGGATGTCTAGTGCCACCCTGATGGATGTTATCGGGAACGAAAAGAAGAGAGTGCTGTGCTTACTTAGGACACCAGAGAGAACAAAGGACTGGAATGGCCCCTGAGAGGGCTAGGGCCAGGTCTAGCCTCAAGGGCAGCGAGCCCTCACATCAAGCTGCTGAGATAAGGGATGCCACGCTGGGTCACCATCTCTGGGCCTCACAAATCATTGATGCGTAGATTGAGCCTTGAAGGGTACTGAAACCTGCTTTAACACAGCTTCCTCTAACATCTGTGCAACCTCAGCTGTTTAAAAGGCACCACCTCTGCAGGATGTGCTCGGGGAAGCCGCTGTGCCACCGGGTTTGCCCCTGGGCCTGGTTTTGAGCCCCTGTCCCCTCATCTACAAAACTGGACTGACTGTCCCTGTCTCTGCACTAGTATGAAGGCTGTCCAGGATAACCGAAGTAAAGTGCCCTATGTGATCGTTGGTCACATGGATAAAGATCAGCAGGTTTGCTTTGTCACTCTTGTTCATCTGTGTGTTTCCCTCAGGGCTTGTTACAATGTTTTGTACACAGTAGGTGCTCCATACATGTTTCTTGGCTTGAATTGAATAAAAGCTGAGGATGTACACCCAGAGGTTGTGATCATCCTAGTGGTTTGCTCTCCGGCCCCACCTTGTCAGGCTGGCCCTATGAGACCTCCTGTCACCTGGGTATCCTTGAGGAGAAGGCTGGCTGTCCAGCACAGAGAGGTACCTCAGAGCTTGCGATGGACCAGGGCCTCAGGAGTGGCTGGAAGTCTGGGAAAGGCACTGGAAGCTCCCCCAGGAGCCTCTTGACCTGAGAGGTATCTCAGGGGCTCAGCACCTGTGGGGGCCCGGGGCACCAGCTGGGAAGAGGGTAAGTACTAGAAGCCCCGTTGGGAGCAGACCTGAGCTAACTCAGAACGACAAGGATAAGTGATTAAATGTTCACATCAGAAATGTGGTCACACTTCTTAATTTCTAAGAGATAGCTACTTTGTAATTTTACAGGTGAAAATGAAACTTCCAAGAGAAAAAATGGCCTTCACGAAGCCACACACTTGGCTGATGGATGGAACCGATGACAGACTCACATTGTGTGGCTCCCAGACTGTTCTATTTCTGACATTTTGCTGCTGTCTACCACATTTACCTGAGGAGTATTTTTCACCACAAGTGTAAGTAACAAAGCAGTTTTTCTGTTTCATCCTCCCCCAATAGCTAATTGGATACAGAATACCAGGACAATACAATCCCTGGTACCCACCAACTGAGGTTGCTATAAATTTAGATATGTGTTCCAAAGGGTACTGTGGTTCTAAAATAAACAGCATTCAATTAACACTGTAGCACCGTTTCTTTTATTTCTGAATCCACACTGACAGCTTTCAGAAAAACAACCTTTAATCATTTACTGGCAATATTTATCTAATAAAATGCCACACCACACACCCACAGAATAAGCTCTTCAGATCTGCTAACCTTTCAAGGCGTAAACACTTCTGATTGCCTAAACACAAGGCTCCAGCGAGCACATTCCACAATGCCATTTCATTTCAATCCCATTAAGAATGCAACCTTTATCCAAGTGGGGTATATTTACCTTTCCGTTTTTGAAGCATCAGCTTGAGTTTATTTCCACTTACGCCACCTGCAGGAATGAAAATAGAAGTCAGATTTAGAGTTGCACTGTACCCTTTAATTTCTCAAATGCAAAAATCGGAGTTGGAAAAACTCACTGGGTGCCCCTCACTTGATTTGGCACCTTGAGAGTATTATGGTGTTGAATGCTTGTTGTATTCAGTGTTGTGCAGGAAGAACAGGTTAGGCTGCCCATGGCTCAGACTGGTGACAATGGCATGGCTGACCAAGAGCATTATGATTTGAGCTAGTCCTGGGCAAAGTGACATTGTTCTTTTAGCCCTTACATCTTATGAGGGCCAGCCATCTGTCATATGTACCTTCCTGCAAACTTTCACTTTCCATGGTCCCCCCATAATTCATATCTACCTGGAACCTCTGAGTGTGAACTTATTTGGAAATAGGGCTTTGGCAGACATAATTAATTAAGGATCCCAAGGTGCTTTCACACTGGATGTAGGGTGGGCTCTAAATCCTATGACTGGTGTCCTTATAAGAAGCGGAGAGGATGCAGAGAAAGAAGTTGTGTAAAGATCGAGGCAGGCAGACATGGGAGTTATGCTGCCACAAGCCAAGAAACATCCCTTAGCTCTCTAAAATTCAGCCCTGTTGTGTAGCTTGCCCTGAGCATCTTATCATCACGCATTCTTTATAGCATTGGGTGTTATTTTTATTCAGTTCTAAAAGCGTTTCTAATCAGCCCAATCATTTTAATGGAAAATAACACGTCTGACCTGATAGAATCCCCTGCTCTGCCTGGAGAGCTGGTTTAAGAACCCATCCATGCCTCTTATCCTTAAGTGCTACATACAAGTATAAAGCTTGTCCCCTGGAGGGGCAACCAAAGCCTCTGGGGAAAAGCCCAGCTTATAAGTAGTGAGCTGAGCAGCTTCAGGTATAAGGAGCTAGTCTGGCCCCAGACGGAGACGCACACTGGATCTCGGTGCCCACGTTCTCGGCTAGGTCCTTAACTTTCCGCTCCACGGACAGGCCCCGAAGCCTGGGTTTCCATCTGCAAAGGTATGGTTTTCTGAGAAAAGGAGTTACAGCTTTTGCCAGACTCTCGAAAGTGTCTGGGACCCAAATAAGATTAAGAACCCCTGCTTTCAGAATATATTAGGTAGTTAGGGGGAAAAAATGCATTTGTAGCCAAAGGTCACAGTTGGCTGCCCACAACTGAACTTTTCCTGTGGATGTGTTTTATTGGTGGTCCCAATGTTTTTACAAAATTTGAATTTGAACAGCTCTGGGCCCAAGACACTCAATATACCCCATAGTCCATAAACAGCCACTTCACCTATTTGCTCCAGGTAGGCATTCGAATTTGAGTGCTTCCCAACTTCCTCTAGAGTAGGTGCGCCAGCCAGGAAGCTGGGACCACACTGAAGGACTGTGGGTAGACAGCGCGCAGGTGGTATTGCCCTCACATCTCCCACAGGAGGGCTGGGTGCCTGCTGGACAGTGGGCCTAGATATTAGCACAGCATGCAACACCTACTGAAGGATTCAGTGGCTTCCATCACCCATGCTCGCATCAGTCTACGGTGATGTGGCTGTCTAAAAAGCAATTGCAATTTTAGGCTGCACTAATGAAAGGCTAGCACCTTGCAGAAAGGAAGTAGTCATGTCTCTGTTCTCTCACTACTCTGATCAGACCACTCCTCTACTAGTTGGTTCAGTTCACAACATCTGACTTTCAGAAGGTCACAGAAAAACTGGAGTTGTGGTCAGAGAAGAGAGTCCAGGGAGGAAAGAGCCCTAACATGTGTTATATGAGAAAAAAGTAATGGAATTCAGATGTTTAACCTAGAGAAATGAAACTTCTGGGGCAGCAGGGGAGCTATGGCCCTAAGGGTCACAGTACCATAAATTAGGGAAGGAAGCAAGGTTTCCAACACTTGAGCAGCCACACAATTGGCATAAGTTGTGCCAAGAGGTTTCACATGAGTTGCTCAAGGCTTCTGAGTATATATAAGCAGAGGTGACAACATGACGAGGCCACTGCAGTCGGGGATTATTTAGACAGGATGGGACTACTCTTAAAGGCTATAGTTCCCTTCCAACCTTAAGAGTCGATGAAGAAATCGATGGGAACATTTGCCAACCCAGACAGCTATGTTCCTTGGAACTGACATTAGCATTCATTACTACCTTAATATTTGCTGATCTCCCATACAGAATTAAGTCCCTCCATCTGCTTGCCTTCTGTAAAAGTGATGAACAATTACTGAATGAAATGTGGTCTACTGCTTAAATAGATTTTTGGGTTTAGGCATTTGCGATGAGGCTGCAATTTCTCACAGCAAATGTGTCACTACTGCTCCAGAAATGAAAGCTTCACCAACTCTCAGCAATACAACTGAAAAGCGTGGATAAATCCTAACTTATGAATTATTAATTTTCCAGTGTGCCGATTACTGCACACTGAAATATAAACACATATGATTAGACATGACGCTAAATTTGTTTGAAGAAAAAAACAAAGAACAAGTGAATAAATGTGACTTTATTTTTCTGTAGTATGAATTTTTTTAATCCCAATACCATCAGTCCCTATTTCTGGGCTACGATAATTCAGGTACTCCTGAATTTTTCAAATCTAGTTATCTTGAACAGATCTCCCAGCAGATTCAGAATTGCAATATGCCCCTTTGAGATGCTAACTATTAATAAATTTATCACTGGTCAAGAATGGCAATGATAATTTTTCCATTAAATGTTTTGGGGTGTCATAAATTGCCACTTTGGAATTCTACATAAAGATTTTCATTTTATGTCATAAAAACTTTCACATTCCAGCTCAATGATGATACTGTGATATTTTAACTGACTCCTTTCAGTACCTTATTGGTATGAACGAAATAAAATATGTCTTGAAAAGAAATGGCTTATAGCCAATGCCCACTCGCTTTATTGGGATGTGCTTCTTAAAATCAGAGGACACAAAGCGTGAGAAGTAGATAAACATGTAATGGGAAATTATGGATTAGCCTCCCCAGTGGCTGTAATTTGGATCAGAAGTTATCCTCCTTGCTTACACAAGTCCCCTACAGTCCTAAGGACCTCAAGCTCCAACCTCAAGGTTCTTCCTGCAAGCCTCCTTCCCCCATCTGCCAGGAGCTTGGTTTTCCATACCCACTTTGAATAAGTAAAATATAGAAGCCAAGTATCCCAAGGGGTCTACCATTTCCATAGAATAGTGCCCAGCTATTTTTCAGGAGAAAAACACCAGTCACAGTTTTTGGTCAAGTCACTACATGCCTTCCAGCCTCTGTTCCCTTAGCAGTAGATCTGGAGTAACAATACCCGCCTCTCCGAGTTGTGAGCGTCAAAGGCGCTCACGCATGCATGAGGCCACTAGTGAAACACAAAAGATCAGGCCACAGAAGGTAGCACTGTCCAGACAAAACATATTATTTTAGATTGCTCTTCTTAAGACGGGGTCTGTGGACTCCCAAGGTTCAGATGTTTGCACACCAGCAAAATTGCTTCATTTTGGGAGTGTGTGAATGTGCACATTGTATAGGGAACAAAACTGGAATTTTCAATGGATTCGCTGAGGGGCTCCATGAAGCATTTTTTTTTTTTTTTTTAAGTGCAGGTCCCCATATGGGATAGAAGGCCTGCTTGTTGCTTTGCATACTTGGTATTTGATCTGACTGGGAAGTGCCTGGAAGGATATCTCGGTGATGATGCCTTTTGGCTACCCCTTAGTCCAGGGAAAGGATGAAAAGGGGATTGAGGAGCATCACCCAATTTAAGCTCCCAGTACCCCTTCCTGCAATTTCTGTCCCTCCTTCGGACCTCAGCCCCTCACTTTTCTCCAAGGTTATCACGCATATCTGAGACCCTGCTCTTGACGTTGATACTCTGTTCTCCTGGCCAAGCACACCACTTCCTACTCCGGCAAGTGCAAAACCCAAGAGACCTATCACCCCTTGGACTTTGCCAAGGCTCAGAGTGGGTCCCTACGCCCCCAACTCCATCACTGATCTCCCTCTGGCTCCCTGGAATCGCCGCACTTACCTGGACCCAGACACAGCAGCAGGAACAATGCCAGCGAGGTCATGGCCAGGACAGCGGGCCGCGCGGAGGAGGCGGCCATGGCTGCACTCGGCGGGCAGGAGGGAAACGCGTGCACCGCTAGCCGCTGTGCGGGAGGACTGGCGCGCGGGAGAGAGGGGCGCAGGAGGGCATGCGCTGCCTGCGTCCCTATCTGGGCGGGACCCGCCGGGAGGGCGCGGTGCCATCGGGCGGTGAGCCAAGAGCCCTGCTCTCCGGCCGCGGCTCCAAGGCCACGGATGCTCGTGATGCTGGCACCGCCGAGGACTGCCGGGGGCTGGGCGCAGCGTAGCGGGCGGGAACCAGCAGGATTCCGGCTGGCCAGGGAGGGGTTGACGCCATCCAGGAGGGAAAAGGCTGACGGCCACGGGAAAAGTGGAAGCCGGACTCCCTACCCCGGTTCAGGTGTCTCCCTCTCTTTGCCTTCCCCTCTTGCACCAGCCCGGCTCCCTGGTCGCCCATGTTGTCCTTGTCACTCCCCGATAGTACTTCCCTGCCTTTGCATTGCGCCAGCTCCTGCCCGGGCCTGGCTCCCGCCTTGGCTTATAAAGTGGCCTCTGGAATTTCCTTAATTCCCTTCTCAGCACTTAAAGATGCCTTTGGCAGTGCTGAGTTTGGGGATTTCTGAAAGACTCCACAGTCTGGGCTCAGAGCTGCAGCTCAGGAAAACATCTCACCCCAAACTACTGGAATAGAAACGCCTTTCAAAAACCAGGAACTGGGTGAGCTCCATAGGTGTTCGCAGAACAAAAGCGTCCCACTCTGCACTCTGTGATCCTTGCACATAAGTGACACTAAAGTGAGGTCCAGTACCTGGTGTGTTCAGAAACAGAGGACTGGAAGAAGGCAGGGTGCTGTGTGAGGGAGCACAAGACAAATGAGTCCCCATCAACCTTGAGCGGGTCACCTAATTATCTCTCTAGGCCTCCTGTACAGAATGGCAGCAATGTTGAAATTACCTTTAGGGGCCTTCCAGCTAAGATCTGCTCTGAACTCAGCTGATTACCTCTTTTCCACATTTCTCTCTTTTTACACCTTCCAATGGTTAAGTGCCTACTGTTTCAGCATATAATTAGCTCCCTGTGTAATGCAGTTGGATTTCTCCAGCGGCAGCGAGAAAGAAGTATGTTAATATCTAGCGAGAAAGGCAGATGATGGTGGAGTGAAGAAAAAGTGTGAAGTGGGTCTGACAGAGAGTCTCAAGGACTTGGGTTGCACATGTAATGTGACATAATAGTATAATTGGAGGCAATTCTCTTTTAAAAACATTTTATTGGTATTCTACTTTCATTTCCTTAAAAAGAACAACAAAAAAACTTCATAAAATAAAGGCTTATGGTTACCAATAGGAAGACACTAATTAATAAAAAGAAGTGTTAAAAGCATAAGATTTATGACCATGTCAATTTACTTCAATTCAATTCAATTCAGTTCAATCCTACATCCATCCATATCTGCTTCTCAAAATGTTCGCTGGACCACATTTGCCCAGACAATATTCCAGAGTGAAGCGTCTTTGGCTCTGGTATTCTCGTCTGCCTTACACATCTTTGGTACTGTTTTATCACCACTAATAAAAAGATGCAGTAAGGTCAGGATGGCCGAGCAGTCTAAGGTGCTGCGTTCAGGAAAAAATGACACAGAGCGCTCTCATATACCTATCTCATTTAGTCTGTCATTCATTTCCATTTATGTCAGGTGGATGGGTTTACTTGGATCCTGTTTAGTGGGAATTTTCATTTCTCTCTCTCACGCAAACGTGGGGGAGGGAGCTGGAGAAAGGTGACTTTGACGTTCAATTCAATTCAATTCAGTTCAATCCTACATCCACCCATATCTGCTTCTCAAAATGTTCGCTGGAGAAAGGTGACTTTGACAGGTCCTAATGGACATTGCTGCCACTTCTTTCAGCATGAGGTTCTAGGGTGCGATGGAAGTCCCATGTTCCCCACAAGATAAACAGTCATTTTTTAAAATCTTACTATATTTTTTAATTAATTAATTTATTTTAATCAGTTTCAAGTATACAGTACATTAGTTAGACATCTATCTAGTTCATAAAAATATCCCCCCAATTGCTCCCTCCCTCCCATGATCCTCCATCTAGCCAACGTATTA